CGACAGTCAGGTATGTTTTCGGGGCCTCTGCCTACACAGTCCCCTGGCCAGTGAGCTCACTCAACCCTTTCTGAGATGAATGAGTAAATTTCTCAGCCCGCCACCCACTGAGGCTCAGTAGAAAACAGAAAGGGCAAGTTGAGCCTTAAAAAGCAGACTTTAATATTTGTGCTATTTTGCCTAAAGGCAGTAAACTCTTCTTGACTTGGATCTTAATTTAGAATTTGTGAACGCAAAGTCTGAGGGAAAACGTGCTCGCTAAAAAAGCAAAAACAACACTTCATTGGGTTTGTAAGGCAGAATTTTTGTTTCTTAGAAAGTTCAACAAATGGTGCAATTGAGCTGAAGTTTATAAATTTATGCTATTAAATTATGGAATAAAAAATTGTTTCAAGTTTCTTTTGACATAGACCCTGCCTCCCCTCCCTCCAGAATCACCATTCATTCAGGAGCAGATATTGTGAATATTAATTATAGCCATTTAACGAGCATCTATTTCTTGACAGTCACCTTACCAAACACCATCTATATTATGCTATTTAATTTCACAACTACTTGTGTGCTAGGAGTTAGCATGACCACTTTAATATGCTAATATTGGTACATAATAAACACTTGAATTAATTAGCCCAGTTGCTCACTACACAGCAGTCGTTGTGTTCTCTATTGCATGTGTGTACTGCATGTATATCATGGAAGCACAGCCTAGCAGTTATGACCAGAAGCAGCAAAATGAGTCTGTTCTTGCCTATTTTCATTGTTGGTGGGGATGGAAAGTTCACTAGTGAATCCCTAGTCTGGCCCCAGTGTTATCTGCACATGTTCACATAACTTTTGCTGACAAACTCTCTCACCTTCTGATCCACATCCTAATGCCACCAAATGATTATATTTTTGCTATTTCAGGTCTTTTTCCAAAGAAATTATTCTAACATTTTTCTTTTGAACTCGTGCCCTGGTTTTTTACCCCTAAGCTGACAGATTTTATAAATCCAGCTAGTTGACCATGCTTTTAGTCAGTCCCCAGGAAGGAGAACCTGACAGAGTCTAAGTGAGCCTGGCTGGTGTGGCTCAGTGGTTGAGCATTGTCGCATGACTGAAAGGTCATGGGTTCAATTCCCAGTCAGGGCACAGGCTCAGGTTGTGGCTTCAATCCCTGGTTGGGGTGCATGCAGGAGGAACCGATCAATATTTCTCTTTCTCTTCCCCCTTCTCTCTAAAAAAAGAAAAACACACAACAGAATCAATAAAAACATATTTCAAAACACACACATGAACTATTTAGTGTGGTTTCACACTGTGGGAATAAGGGAGATGCAGTAAGATGGCAGGAGAGGTGACGGATAAGATGTGTACATAGGGAGGAAGAGGCCTGTTGTACTTGACCACATGAGGCAATCTGAGAAGATAAAGGAATCGAGACATAGGCAAACCTGATGTTTATCAGTGTTACTTGTTTTCAAAGTTCTCTTTTCCTTAAAAAATCACAAACTTTTGAAATAACATTTGTTTTGTTGTCTCTGTTACTAGATTGCAAGTTCTATAAGGGCAAGGACCATGGTCTGTTGTTTATCTTTCTACTAGGGGCCTAGTGCACGAATTTGTGCACCTTGAAAGGAGCCGTGGACCATGAGGCTGCGGTGAGCACAGGGGTGGGTCTCGGCCCATCTTCCATGCCCCCGCCTGGCCCTTCCCACCATGGCCCCCAGTCTCCTGACTACCAGCAGCTTTGCTCCCACTGCCACCGCTCCCATGCACTGACCAACAGCCCTGCTCGCACTTGCTGACAACACAGAGGGATTGGGGCTGGCACCGTCAGTGGGTGTGAGTATGGCTGCTGCCCTGATTGCCCCTCAGGAGCAGAGGGAGGTTGAGAAGCCCTCAGGGATGGTTGGGGTTGGCAGCTACCGCTCACACCTACTGACAGTGCCAAGCAATCGGGGCTGGTGCAGGGTGCCAGCAGTGGGTGCGAGCAGGGCTATTGCCGGCAGCAAGTGGGAGAGGCGGCTGCTGGCCCTGATAGTCCTTCAGGAGCAGGGGGAGATGGAGAATCCCTGAGGGGCGTTTGGAGCCAGCAGACACTGCTCACACCTGCTGACAGCACCAAGTGATCAGGGCCAGCTCTGGGCACCAGCAGTGGGTGCGAGCAGTGGCTCTGGTGCCAGCAGCAGGTGTGAGTGCCCAGTGGGACCATGTGCATGGGAGCAAAGAATTTTCAGTAACCACCAGAGGCTCTCCCTGCTGACAGCGACTGACAGCCTTGGTCTGGCACCCCCACTCACCTGCTCCACCATCCCGCCATGGCTGGTGCCTGCCATGTTCCACATGCGGCCCCTGGTGGTCAGCATACGTCATAGAGACCAGTTGTTTGGTTGTTCTGCCACTTGGTCTATTTGCGTATTAGGGTTTTATATATATACTAGAGGCCTGTTGCACGAAAAGATTCGTACAATAGGCCTTCCCTTCCCCTGGCTGCCGGCACCGGTTTTCCTCTGGCGCCCGGGACCCAGGCCTTGGCTCTGGCTGGAGCCACCTTCAAGCCTCTCGCTGCTCCGGCCGGAGCCACCTTTAGTCTTCGCTCCGCTGCTTCGTGCCTATGTATGCAAATTAACTTCCATCTTTGTTGGCATATCGCTCTGATTAGCCAATGGTGGGCATAGCAAAGGTACGGTCAATTTGAATCTTTGTGTATTATTAGATAGGATAAATGTATATAGATTCCTTATGCTTATAGAATTTATATTTGTTGAATGACTAATGAATCAGTAAATGGCATAGATGATATGGACATGAAGTTTATTATTTAGCTAGAGGCCTGATGCACAAAATTCATGCAAGGGGCTTGGTCCTCGCAGTCCCAGCTTTGTCAGGAAGTTTGTTGGGCTGTCCGGTCTAATTAGCATATTATGCTTTTATTATTATAGGTAATACAATTTAGTGGGAGTTTGCTGCAGAATGGCTTCTGAGCTGGGTTAGGCTAACAGCTGAGAGGAGTTCATTAATGGGTGACATGTGAGAAGTGCTCCTGCCCTTAAATCCTGTCAGTGTTTCCCGCTGAGAATGGTAGGGAAGAGCCTGTTTGAGAGCATTGCTTCAGAGGCAGGGTGTGATGGTCACTGCTGTCCTGCTCTGTTGGACATGGAACTGTCTGTAACGTTCCTAATTCTCAGTCCGTGTTACTGTTCATGGAGCCGTGACCAGTGCTGATGGTCCCCCAGGAGATGCAAACTGATGTGTTTTCTCTACTGCGAGAAGCTGTGGGACCAACAGTAAACAGGGTCACTGCCCTGGTGTGAATCCCTAGAGCTGATCCCCAGGGTCACCGTCAACAGGTGGAGGGAAAAGAAATCCAGGTTTTTCATCTTTATTTAAAAACATTGTGAATAGTGGCCTGTATAACACAGCAATTTAAACATTTAAAGGCTTCATTTTTATCAATTGGTATCAATGGAATAACTCTCATAAAATAATTGCTGTTAGCTTGTGACCCTGAACAGTTAGCTGACTCATGTGTTTACTCCAGCTAATCAAGTGGCCCAGCTCGGGTCCTCATCCTGGACTCGGAATCCAGGGATCTTTCCCGTTGGTTCAGGGAGGACCCTCCCCGTGGGGAGACTTGCCTGTGCCCCACATCTCACTCCGTCTTTTCCTCTCTGTCACCCCTCCCCTCCCAGTGGAGCCCACAGTGACCATCTCCCCAGCCAAGACAGAGGCCCTAACCCACCACAACATGCTGGTCTGCTCGGTGACGGATTTCTATCCAGCCCACATCAAAGTCCGCTGGTTCCGGAACGACCAGGAGGAGACAGCCGGTGTCGTGTCCACCCCCGTGATCAGGAACGGGGACTGGACCTACCAGATCCTGGTGATGCTGGAAATGACCCCCCAGCGAGGAGACGTCTACACCTGCCGCGTGGAGCACCCCAGCCTCCAGAGCCCCATCGCAGTGGAGTGGCGTAAGGGGCAGTTTCTTTCCTGCACCCTGGGCCCCACAGACAGAGGGCAGACAGTGTCCCCTGCCGTCCCATCGCATCCCTACCCCTGATGTCACTGCTGAGTGCACATCACAGGACGCTAGAGCCCTCTGGTGCCGTGGCAGGGGCATCAGATCTCATTGTGTTTCCAGACACTAGGGAGGTCACTCTACACCACAGCCAGAACCCAGCCTGAGGGCTCTGAGGGCTGACTGTGGCGGCTGGTGATGGGGCTTGGTGTCCAAGGTCAGGATGCATGTGAAGGAGCAGGACCCACTCCCCCTGTCACCCACCCTCGGTGTCCAAGGGTTTACTGGCTGGTTCCCGCCTGGGGTGGAGGCTTCCAAAGGGCCCCTGTGGGTTTGGGACAGAAGCTGACACCCAGGCTCTGCTCCCCAGGGGCACAGTCTGGATCCGCCCAGAGCAAGATGCTGAGTGGCATCGGAGGCTTCGTGCTGGGGCTGATCTTCCTGGGCCTGGGCCTTGTCATCCGTCACAGGAAACAGAAGGGTAAGCAACTGGGTAAATGGGAGGATGGGTTGTGCCCGGGACCCTCTGTTGAGGGGGCCTCTGCTTGTAGGTGTAACTCACCTCCTGACCTGGAAGGCAGGCAGCCGGGCTAGTGGTGGGAGGAGACAGACAGCTAGGCCAGGCTTTGGACTGGATTTTACTGTTTGAAAGGCAGCCCTGCCACAGGCGTGACTGTGGCGAGTGTCCTGGGGCTGAGAGCTCATCACTGTCTCGCTGGCCCCTTTCCGAAAGTTGCTTCTTTAAGATCAGGGCGTTGGCTTTCCTTCCTTCTAGTGACAGGTCCACTCATTTGGGAGATTGTAGCTTAGAGGGTTAAGGCCTGTGGCTGATGGGTGGGGAGGAAGTAGATTTCCAGTTAAGCTGCTTATCTCATTTCCTGTTGGTGGGAGATGGACTGGCTGTGTAATGAGACCTTTCTCTGTGTAGGTCCTTTTGTAGGATCTCATGGGCTCCACCCCAGCTACTGTCTCTGCTCTGATTTAATGGGGTGGACGGGGAGGGGAGGGAGCTGGTTCCAGGACAGGAAAAGAGGGAGAGAGGGGCGGGAAGTGAGTGTACCTGGTCACAGAGGGCGTGGTTCAGGGCCTATTTCCTGCCAGGGGATCAAGGATTCGGGGAGAAGCTCGCCCAGTTTCTGAAGGAAACTCTGGGCTTGTTATCCAGAACCCGGGCTTAACTTTAGTGAATCTTTCTGTGAAATGTGGAGTCAGATCCACGTCTTGGGTGGTAGGCACGGGGATGATGCCCACTTTGTGCCCATGTTGGTGGCTCCTGCCTGTGGGCATTTATAAGTGAGTCCTAGTGGTGGAAGGAAGGTTAGTTAACACTTGGAGTGCGGGTGAATTTCCCGCCAAAATATAAGATGGCTCTGTCTTTTGGTTTTGTTCCATCCACCAAAAGGGTGGATTACAAACAAATATTTGGTAATACGCAGTTACAATCGGCCCGAGTTTACACGTTTCCCGCACTCCACCGCAAATCTATATGAACCGAGTTAAGACGGCTCCCGCAGAGTACGCGCAATTCACGCGAGCCGACTTAACTCGTTTCCCGCACTTAACATTAAATTTGTTTAAAAGATTGAACTGCTCATATCCCCCAAGGGATAACAGCTGTTCCCCCGCCTCCTGCATGTCTGGGTGGAGCTGAAGTGCCCGTCCTCTTTAGGTGATTTCACCCCTACACAGATACTGGGAGAGGTGATGACCTTATGCCCAGACCTCAGCTTTACCTGATGCTGCAGGGCCCCAAGAGGAGGGGACAGGGTACTTCCCAGGTGCCGGGTGCTGATCACTCTCTCTTCTACAGGGCTCCTGCGCTGACTCCTGATCGTATTTTGACTGGGATTGGCTGTGTTTCCTCTGAAATGCCTGCTTGTTGTCCTTGCGCAGATTTCCCAGCTGCCTGTGAGCCTGCTCCCTCTGAGATCAGACCTGTCCAATCATCTCCTGTGCTTCCCCCCACCCCCCACCCTCCAGGCCATGGCTGTGACCTTGGAGTCTGTCCTGTGGGCTGCCAGCTGAGTCTACTCAAAGCCCAAAGGCATTTTTCTTTTGTTTTCTCCCTCCCTCCATCCGCCACTGTCCAAGAGAAGCACATTAAAGCCTTTACCTGACTCCAGAGCTTTTGTCATAATTAAACATGTTACCTGTATCTAAGCCTTCTTAACTGAGTTGAGGGAGGAAGCCACTGCAGAATGAAAGGAACATGTTTTGCTCCTTGAGGGAGACTAGAGCATCTTGGGGTGCTGTGATAAACGTGGACAGAGGGAACAATTCAATCATCCCCCTTCCTGGCTCTTTGGTATTGATGTTCAGTGCAGTGGCCTTAGGAAGGGCCTCTTCTCCAGCCTGGTGGGTAGAGTGTATGTCAGCATGGAGGAATTACCTGGGCCCAGGTACAGTGGCCTCTGGGGTCTCAAAGAACCAAGCTGATGTCTCAGATGTCTTGGCAAATCACAGTGATCAAGGTCAGTTTTTATTTTTGGAAAAGTAAAACCAGCAATAAAAGTAATATTCTTGGTTCCAAGTGATTGAAACCCGACTGAAGTATAGATGTCCATGTCACAATGAAGCCTGGGGTCAAGTTGATTTCAGAAGAGACTGGATCCAGGTATTCTATGAGGTCTTTGTCTCTCCTCTTTCTGTTATAACTCTTTCTAGACACCTTTCTCTTTTCCTGTATCTCTCTTTGTTCCTGTATATTTTTTTTCAGTGTGTCTCTCTGTATCTTTTTCTGTCTGTCTCTGCATCCCTGTGTCTTTCACTCTTTCATTGCATGTCTGTCTCTATTTCTAGCTATACCTCTGCCACCATTTACCTGCATCTATTGACCTCTCTGTGTTTCTTTTTGCATTTCTAATTTTTGCATCTTTCTTATCACCACACAACTTACCTTTGTTTCTGTGTATGTGTGTGACTGCCTGTCTCTGTTGTGTGTTTCTAGAGTGTCTACCAAAGTTTGAACAATTTTAGGAGAGATTTTGGTTGAACACCCCTTAGTAACATGCACACCTCTTAAAAACACCATCATGTGCATGGATGCAGACAGCCTTACGTTCACCCCCTTTAGTAGGAACATAGGCTGGACCTTCCAGATCTTGGTGATGCTGTAATGACTGCCCAGTGTGAAGGGGTCTACACCCACCATGTGCAGCACCCCAGCCTCCAACCCCATCACCGTGGAGTGGCATGCGGGGCAGTTTGTTTCTGTAGACCCAGGAGATGAGTGACAGAGTTTTCTGTGCTTCTCGGGTGCATTGCTGGAAGTGCTGACTCACACCCATCTCACCCCTTGTCTCCTGCATAGTCACCTGATGTCACTGCTGAGCTAGAATTCCCCAAGGAGAGAGCTTTCCTTGTCCGTGGATATAATGACCTGTTGATTCCTGTTGATATTCTCTAACCAGGTGTTAAACAGGACCCTGCACACTGAGGTTCCCTTGACATGGTCCAGCACAGAAAGCTGGTCTCCTACTCAGTCTCTGGATTTGTTGTACAGCCAGGTGGCTGAGAGCTTGTCTTTGAGGTAATGGAAGGCATCCCCTCCTCCCTGCTCCCTCACCCACTCATTGAGGAACCAATGGTAGCTCCTTCCCTCTCCTGGATGAAGTCAGAATGGAGAACAAGGCTTTTCTGGAGCCATTGTCTTCTGTACCCCAGGATGTAATGCAGGTCACCAGACATGGGCACTGTGAAGGTGTGGGCAGATACACTCAGGAGGACTCTGCTCCCCAAGGTCATAGTCTGAATCTGCCCAGAACAAGATGCTGAGTGGTCAGAGGTTTTTTCATCTTCTCAGGATGGACATTGTCATTTATTAAAGGAGTCAAGAGGGGTGACACTTAGGGAAATGGGGAGCATTTGTGTGGGTGTCTAGGGCGCCCTTATATACTCTATATGTAGTACTTTGTTTTTGGTGCTGCAAAGACAAGAGG